TGCTTACATTCATATAATACAGACAATTATTCATAGCACAGAGATTTAAAAATTGGAATGACTCAGTCAATTCCTCCAGTGCACAGACAGGAATGGAGAAGAAAGTGCCTTATATTCTTCTGCTACCCTATTTAGTGTTCCTGGACAACTATAGTGGGGGGAAAGGGGAGTTTTAGCTCTTTGAGATAAGCCAGGTAAGAATAGAATAGAATAGAATAGAATAGAATAGAATAGAATAGAATAGAATAGAATAGAATAGAATAGAATAGAATAGAATAGAATAGAATAGAATTCTTGATTGGCCAAGTGTTGTTGGACACAAATGGAATTTGCCTCAGTGAAAAGGCTCTCATTGTACATAAAAGAAAAGATACATTCATCAAGAGTCGAGAATCATAAGGTACGACACTTCATGATAGTCATAGGGTACAATAAGCAATCAAATCATACTAGGAAACAGTCCATATAAATCGTAAGGATACAAGTGACAAAGTTACGGTCATACAATCACAAGTGGGAGGGAAAAGACAATGCAAGGACTACTGCAACTCTATTGTTGTAGACTAGAATATTATAACAGAACCTCAAAAGCCGGTCAGTCTCCCTCTGCGTCCTCATTGTAGAGTACAAGTAGTCCTCGACTTACAATTCATTTAGTGACCGTTCAAAGTTGCCACACTGATGAAAAAAGTGACTGATGACCATTTTTCACAATCACGACCTTTGAAGCATCCCCATGATCATGTGATCAAAATTCAGGTGGTTGGCAACTGGTTCATACTTACAACCATTGCTATGTCCCATGGTCATGTGATCACCTTTTGCCACCTTCTGACAAGTAAAGTCAATGGAGATGCCAGATTCACTTAACAACCGGGTTGGTAACTTATCAACTGCTGTGATTCACTTAACAATTGTGGCAAGAAAAGTCATGAAACAGGGAAAAACAAATGTCTCACCTAACAACAGAAATTTTGGGCACAATTGTGGTCTAAGATGAGGACTGGCTGTATATCAAAGTGAGATTGAATGTCTTTCTCAACACTTTTCCTTCCCAGGGTTCAACTGATGTTTACTAATCAATTCTTGCATTCATTCCTCAAGGTTGTCTCTAAAATCCACTGCCAGTAAGTGGGCATCCCTAAATGCACTTTAATCTATTCAAAGAAGGCTCACTTCTTGTAATTAAGTGTTAGGTTTTATCCTGGAAATTTGGAATACAAAATGATGCTTTAATCTCTGAGATTTAGCTGCATAACCTCATTTATGTATTATCTCCCTGGTGATTGTAGGCAGGCACACATTTGGAGATAGAAACAACCTTACTCCCTTCCTTAAAAATAATTGGAGTGGTTCAGGACAGGGCTCCATTTGGGTAGGCCTTGGTTGGTCACCATTTAAACATTGTCAACTCTATATGATGGCAGAAGAGCTGTATCCAGTAAACAAAAGAAATTGGCAACTCTGGTCAGTCAAGCAAGTGAGTGTCCTTCATTGCCGGCCATTTCTGGGCTTTATTTTGCCCTCTTAACTTGGTTTTCCCTGATTTTGCACTCTCAGTTGGACTCCTAATATTATGGGATTGTGGAACTAGAAGTCAAGAGTGCCAAGATGGAGAAGACTGATTTGGAAGTAGCTGCAGGGGGAATGAAGAAAAACAGAGCAGCTTGAATGAGGGAGCCAATTTGGGCAAGTTTTTCTCCCTTTTCAGCCTTTCCTCTGATTGCTTCCCCAGCTGAGATTCAATCTGCAGCACAGCTGGCAGCCCTTTCCTGAGCCTCACGTAGACGCTCAGGCTAGCCTTCACTCACAACTTCCCCTCCTTGCCTACAAAATGCCAAGACAGGATGAGGCGTGCCAGGCACTAGGCAAGGCAGATCCCTGTGCACCAACCAAGACCTGCCCGCCTTGGTGGATATTCCTTCCCTCAGGGAGTTGGGTGGGTTGGGTGGGGAAGGCCATTGGAATGCAGCTCAACTGCTTTGGGGTGTGCAGGGAGCCGGCCCTGACACGCGCCCCCAGCTGCTTGGCTCGTGGCTCCCTCACGCCAGGACTCGTGGGCCCCACCTCTCCATTTTAATCCAAGAGACACCAGATCCCTTCTACCAATCCCTGAGTTTCATACCTAGTTATCATGGGACTTTGCATAAATATCATCCCCCATGCAGAGTAATCATTTCTTCCCATTTACATAGGGAGATTAAACGCTAAAGAAGGGCTAGCCCAATTAAAATTTGTCAGTGGATGGCCTTAGGCCAGCTGCAGGCTTTCAGCCCCTTACACTCAAAATAGAAATAACAAGGTATCTGCTTAATAGACTCCCCGCATCTCAAAGAATCTTATGCTAATGTATATAAAATAGAAATTTCATATGTGTAAAAACACATCTGGAAATAAGTATATTATATAATGGATCGAAACACAGAGTATCACATCCAAATGGGAAATACCAGCCAGCTTATAGCCAGAGCCTCATTGTTGGGAAAGGCCATCAATTTTCCCTCCCCCAGCCCCAAATTAAAGTCCCCTCCCCAGCACAAGGCTGTCTAGTCCTTGTTTGAACACATCCCAAGAAGGCGAGCCGACCACCCCCCTGGGTAATTAATTCCACAGTGAACCTATTCACAATATTAGGCGGTCTTCTAATTGAAATACCCTTATTCCATGTCCTGCCTTCTGGAGCAAGAGAGAACAGGTCTTAATTTTCTTCTCTGTGACATCCTTTGCTTTCAACTATGTAAAGAATGCTTTCTATTCCCCTCTCACTCCTCTCTGCTCAAGGCTTAGCATATCTAGCTGCTCCTTCAATCTTTCTTCACTTCATTTTTCATCCCCTGGTCACTTCTGTAAGGCACCGAACCAGACTGTACATGAATATATAAGACGAAAATATTTATTGCCTGTGATGCTACTTGATGCCATCCAAATTCTGCATTGGCTTCATCTGTAGCTAAATCACACTGCTAACTCATGCTAAGCGTGTAATTAATTGGGCTATTCAACAATCTGGATCTGAAGAGGAAATGGTGTTTCAGAGGACACAAGAAGGGGAATGTTCCGGAAGCATCCCTCAGACTTAAATTCATTCTTTCCGGGAACCACAGAAAAATGTGAATTATGTATAAGCAGTTATGAAGAGGACAGCATCCCTTGTTTGCTTTGAGATTTTTTTCCCCCACAAGTACTATTATAAAAACCAGATAGTGCCCCACAGACACAAACACAGATACACACATGCAGTATTGTACACACGATTTTGCTTTCTCACTGAAGAACCAGCATTTGTCACTGTTAAAATTCATGTTGCTATTTTGGTTCCATTTCTCTAACCAATCAAATTCTCATGAAATTGAGTTTTATCTTCTAGTGTATGACTTACTCCACCCCTCTGCAGACATGGCAAACATTTCCTCCATCTCTTTATCCAGGCTGTGTTCTTGTACAGTCAGCAAACCAGATGCTCATTTTGGACGAGCAAATTCCAGGCATCTTCTTTAGGATTAATTGCCTTCCAGCTAAACTAAGCAGCCTTTCAGACAAAGGGATAAAGTGCTGTGGAAAAGAGAACCCTTGACAAGCTTAATACACACTCTGCTTTGCTGCCCATCAGGGTTTGCTGGGAAAGATGTAAGCTGCCGCATCAGAAGCAGTGGTAAATTCTAAAATAGGATTTTCCAACCTTGTGCCCATCACGAGTACCGGATTTAAGTTCCCAGGATACGCAGTTAGCACGGCAAGCTACAATCCCATCTAAAGAATTATTGAATTGATTGAAGTCCAACACATTTGGAAGACATCAGATTGCTAAAGTTTTCTTTAAACTAGAATGCATATCCGAGCTTTTCCAGAATCCATTTAGGCCATTTCTCCAAGCATCCTTCTTTTCTATAAGAACCCACTTCGTATTCCAAACTCTTCCACATCCCTTGACTTCAGAAATAATTGAACATGTGCACACATGCATACATGCATGTGCATAACCACATGGATACAGGTGCGAGAATGCAAGCACACATAAAAGCACAGGTTGCTTGTTGCCCGATCCAACTGAAGATGCATGAATGTTTGCTTATTACCCAGATTTCATGTCACTTTAAAGAGAAACTAGCTTGTGCCAGAAAGCTTTCCAGAATTGTATCCCATGTCGAGCTGACAATCCTCACATCTTTCTCCCACTCTGTAAGCCCCTTGAAACTCTCCTGCATGCAAATCCTGAATAATAATTCTCTCATTTCTTGACTTATACCAATAAGGTGTCTTTCCAACCAACATATTTCCTTCTTTCCATCAATTTTTCAGGGTCTGTGGGGAGGGCAAGTAAAGGACAACTCCCCCAAAATTTAGAATGTAGCTTAGTGTTTGAAATAATCACATGAACCAGTCCTTTTGATTAGCTGATTAATGACTCTTGAATTCTTCAGAAGAGCCCAATCTTTCAATTTGTCATTCATAAATTAACATAAAGAAAGCAATATAAAAATGCAGTTAAGGGGCTGCAAAATTATCCCATTGTATCCTGTTTTACTGCATTATTGATGTATGGTAGAGCAATACAAAAAAATAAAATAAAATAGTTCTCATGAGCACCACCAATACTAGATTAGCAAATCTTCCCCCCAAAATAATGCAGTTCTTCTGTCAGTTCCTTTCTTCTCTCTATTCTTGTCAGCAATGAACCTGTAAATGCAGACCATTCCTCTGAAATTGATCACGCGTGTTCCCTGACAGAGTCAATATTTCCTACTCCTGGTGGACTCCCACCATGCCTGCCTCTGCCTTTTACTTCCATTCCAACCCCACCCTGTACACACACACACACACACACTGCAAGGGAGTGACACAATCCAGGCACACGCACTTGCCCAGAGGGGGCTAACAGGCTCGGAGAGGCGTGTGTCGGGCCTGTTGTGGCTGGCCAACTGAAGCCCTGCCCCCTCAAAGGCACACTCCAGAAGTTCATGAAGGGAAGTAGCATGCGGTACAAGGGTGTGTGACTTCTGTGAAAGAACAACCTGCAGGGTCCAGGGCAGCTGGTGATCCCCTCCCTTCTCTGAAGAAAGGGGACCCTTTTGATGCAGGAAGGGTAGGAGAGGAAAGAGAAAGAAAGAAGGATTTAGGGCTGAAATTCCCCAAGTCCCTGCTCACTGAGCTTAAGGAGGCCTGAAACATTTAGATTCTGGGGACCACCTCCTTGGTACCCCCATTCTGCAGCACAGTTAATATTCTTGCAGTTGTCTGGGGTCAGCATCCATCCTGTGTGGACAGTCCCTCCCCCACCAGCAGTGATGGCCTTGGCTGATTTTCATTACACCACAGGGATCAGCAGTGGATTCAAAGTCTATATCTTGGAAGGTGAGTATTTGAAAACCTTTTGTTTTTCTCCCCATCTTTTTCTATGGTGTTTGGCAATCCTGAGGCTTTGAATGAATAGTTCAGGATTGAACTGGCATCTGCTCAGGGGCCAAACATTGCCATGGGAGCGGGGGGGTGTTGCCAGAGACTTTTATTAATTGAAAAAGTAACGGCCATCAGAATCTGTCAATTCCAATGCCCGGCCTTCTCCTTAATTCCCAGAGGGCAGTGGGATAGAATGATGTGTGTGTGTGTGTGTGTGTGTGTGTGTGTGTGTGTTTCACTGAATCTGGGTGATCCATCCAATCCTGAAGATCAATCAGATCAGGAAAGTCCAGTTTGAAATGGGAAGAGCTTCTTTGCAGCAGCTGCTGTTACTCCTGTACAAGACAGCTTGACAATCTCCTCAGGGGCATGAAAATTCATTCATGAGGCTCCAGCGGGCCTTCATGGACCAATACTCTGCTTTTCTAGCACCCCTCAACCAACTGCTATCCTGTCTAAAATACCATCCATTGCCACCCAAACCTGCCCCCTTCCATGAAAGTAGCCAAACCCACTCTCTCCATCCCTCTCCATTAGCTCGCGGGGGGGGGGGGTGTTTCCGCCCTCGAAGCCAAAACAATTATTGTCAGAGAGGCAACAGCCTCAAACGCATAATCCAAATTTCAATATGTTTGCTTCCATTAGTATTGATTTATTTTCCACCTCATTGAGTTTACTTTTGGATCTCCAATTTCTTTGTCACGTCGTGGTTCTAATCAGTCCCATGGATTGCCCTGTGCATGGCTAACATTTGAATTGGAAGCTCTTCGGGCGAGAACATGTAATGCTATATTTAGGAGAAAGGAAGAGGTGTTTTCCCTCAGGAATTTATTTTTTAAATTGGAAGAATTCTCTTAGATTCCTTCAGATATGATCATGAAACAGATGAATGAGGGTTTTTTTTTTTTAGTAAAGTTCCTTTTGATATGGGTTGAGAAGGCGTTAATAATTTTAAATCCAGTGTTGTCTTTCTTTGCTATTGCTGTGATTCTTATTTACCCTTAATGAAAATAATGGTTTTGGGGGGTCCTCAATGCAGAAATGAAACCACTTGGATTTAGCATCTGTAGAAGGGAAACCAAATATTGAAGAATCCCACCATTCAAGTCATATACAAGCGAGCACTCCCAAGTGAAGATCTTGCAGTACACGAAGTTTTGTTTCTGGACTTCAGCCTCTGTGGCTACAAAGGGCTCTTCCAAAATTATTCTTTTTCTCTCTCCAAATTTCAACCAACCCAGGCATCTTAGTTCTTTGAAACAAAGGAAACCTGGTCTGCAAATAGGCCAAAGTTCACTGCTAATTAGCAAATCCCACACATAAAAATGCAAGTCCTGATGCGCCTCTTATAAATGTGTGTCAAATGCCATACCAAACTTGTCTGAACACGAGCCGTTCGTCACAACGATTATGCCACCTATTTTAATAAGGGCAGAAAAGTTCAGCTTAAACATCTTCCCGGAGGGCCAATTTAGAGATTCGGGGAAAGCGTATGTATCAGCCTGCCAAGAAATGCATTAGATCTCCTTAGCATGCAGGTACGAAAGCTACCTATTTGGAAAAAACCAAGGGTTAGGTCAGTGGACCATGTCCAAACAAACAAGAAAGAGCTAGGAGAATCAATTACGTACTTTACTGGTTTTCCATAGGTATGTTACATGTCATGTAAGTCTATAAATTCTGTGTTTATGACTCATCTCCGTTTCTCTTGGATGCCACAGCAATGTGGAATTCTGCAATTCCTATGCCATTTATTCAGATTGCCAATTCTGTGCCTGCCGCATGCATGATCACCCTTGGGCCATGTTGCTGATCATGACATTTCCCCCCAATGCATTATTTTAGTAAGTCTGACGATATCACCTATAGCAGAGAGAAGTATTGGCTGATCCCTGAAAGCTAACCGAGCTTGAAATCTGTTGGCATTTGGATTGGAGACCAAAAGGAAATCCCAAGATTATAGACAAGACTGGGAATTTTTTTAAAAAAAATCATTGTGGATGAAGGCTATAGCGAATTACTTACATACTGTAGTCAAGAAAATTACATGGACATGCCCATATAGTCATAACGTAGTAAATTTTTTACCATGCCATACCATACCATACCATAGCCAGTGATTCCCCAACCTTCGCTGGTTGGGGGGCCAGCTGAGGGAGAGAGAGGGAAAGTGGATGTGCGAGCAGCGGGCTGGTGTGCATGCACATGCAGCTCCGTTCACGTGAGCGGTGGGCTACCAGGCATGTGTATGTGCACCAACCCGCCTCTCGTGCGGCCCAGTTCCAAATAAGCCATGGCCCGGTAGTGGGCCACGGCTCGGGGGTTGAGGACCCCTGCCATCGCACACCATACTTTAGTATTATCATTGCTAGATACTGGAAGCAGGGCAGAAAAGCTGGGGAAAAAAATGGCTTCCCTAATGCTACATGAATTGAAGGCATGTTTTGATCTCTGGAGAGGATAGAATTTCTAGTTCACAGCTGGAACCGGAGCTGAGTTTAAGCTGACAGGGAATATTGAAAAGGTCTGACCTGAATTAAGCATAGATGCATGCCATGAAAAAAAACATGACACTTCTTTTGGCTGAGTTTTTCAGGGAACCTTTAAAACAGGGTGAAAGCATTGGCTTACTCAGGATGGAAATGGGGGACTTCTGACTCAGTCCGGTGTTGATTTGAGATACCCTCCTATAAGTCTGGCCCTTACAACGTTGTCAGGAATCTTAGTAAAAGTGATGGCAACCATCCTTGATTGGCTAGATAGCCTCAACTAAGTTAAGGGGGGAAGGAAAATCTACGACAATTTTATGAAATATCTATTCCAGAATGAATAGGACCTCTGGGAAGAGAGACAAGTGGTACATTAGTAATAGCTCCTTGCATGGCAGGACCTGGCAATTTTTTGTTTCCCACACACCCAGTTCGACACTTAATGTCAAAAGCAATAAATGCCAGAAGTACCTGCTTTTCTTTGACAGGAACCGAATTGAAATGATATCCATTTGTTATTTTTGACACCATTTCATTCTCCGGTGCTTGGGAAATCAAATGTTTTAGGGGGGAAGCTTTTTCAATGCAGCTGCTTGCTTCAAATTTTTCAAAGTCCACATGAACCTGTTTTCCCATTGTTTTCCTATTAGTTTTTCTTACCAGAAAAATAATAATGAAGGACAAAAAAGTGGAGTTGCAGAAAAGCTTTTTTTACTGTGAGATATATATACATTCATACATACATACATATGTGTGTGTATATGTTTGTTTATGTATATATAATTTTATTTGTTAATATTGTAAAATACAAAATAGAAATAATAACTGAATAAGACTCTCCTATCTGGAAGAACTCAGAAATCTTTAACCGAGTGGGTCAGTGGTAGTATTCAATATTTTTTACTACTGCTTCTGTGGGCGTGGCTTGGTGGGCGTGGTATGTGTGGCATGGCTTGGTGGGCGTGGCAGCGGAAGGATACTGCAAAATCCCCATTCCCTCCCCACCCCACTAACCTGCTTTCCAGCTCCGTTCTCCTGTGCAGGGCAACAAAAGAAGACCCAGCCAATCAGCTGGGACTCAGGAGGCAGAGAATAGATGGAGGCGGGGCCAGTCAGTGGTGGTATTTGTCGGTTCTCTGAACTACTCAAAATTTCCACTACCAGTTCTCCAGAACCGGTCAGAACCAGCTGAATACCACCTCTGGAATGGGTTATTTTTAAGGCCTTAATATATCAATGCCAAACATGGACTTTTCAAACAATAGATGACATTCGCAACATCAACTGAATGTTTACAAACACCACCCAGAAATTCCAATTTAGCACTTGCTCGCAGCCTTTTCTAGGAGTGAAATACAATGGTACACACACACACACATACACACACACACACATCAAGGTTTCTCCACTGTTCTCAGCTGCCGCCATCTTATCTCCTCTTGCCAGGCCACTCTTCCTTTGAGAATGAGCAGAGGTTCCACCGCCTCCCAGCCTACCGGCTGCCCACCTGTCCAAACAAGCGCAAGGCCAGCCTGGATGTGAGAAGAATCCCTGAAGGCCAGAAGGGATCCAAAGTCAGGCGATTGTCGAGCAGGCCTATTGCAGCGTGAGTATACTGAGTGCCCAGTAGGGGACAGTGTAACCCTAAGGAGAAAATCCACCCCAGAGATTGAATCTTCCCATTGAAGAATGACAAGCCTTTTTGGAGGCTTAGAGGTTCTGTTTGTATAACAACCCTGCAAGGTAGCTCAGTAGTATCACCTCTGTATTTCATAGAGAGGACAAACAGGAGGGACTTGATGAAGCATATCATGCCTTTTATTATAAGAAGAAGTGGGGGGGAGGGGAAGCAAAGAAATACCTTAGGAGGAAAAACTCATAAAGAAGCATACCTATTTTGAGAGTTGCCTTTTGGAATTCACAAGAACAGTACAAGATTCTAGGCTAAAAATGTCGCGACTTGCAGCTCAGCTTTACACCCTAGAGTTGAAATCTCCTGTTGGAGACACAGTTTTACTCTGGATTTATTTCCTACTACGTAGAAACGTTTTCCACCTATAGCAGCTTTAACTCTGGGGAAGTTTTTCTTGTTCTCTTATATCTGGGCTGTCAAACTTGCGGCCCACGAGCCGGATGCGTCACACCCTGGCCACGCCCATGCCTGGTTTAGCGAAGGGGGGAAAAGTCCCGATATGTCATGTGACCCCGATGTGATGCCGTGAGTTTGACACCCCCGTCTTACATGAGTGACATCCCCAACGTGCAACCACAATTGAGGCCAAAATTTCTGTTGCTAAGTGAGAAATTGGTTAAGTGAGTTTTACCCCATTTTAGGATTTTTTTTGTCACATTGGTTAAGTGAATCACTGCAATTGTTAAATAAATAATGCAGTTGTTAAGTGAATCTGGCTTCCCCATGGACTCTGCTTGTCAGGAAGTCGCAAAAGGGATTCACGTGACCCCCAAGACACTGCAACTGTCATAAATGTGACTCGGTTGTCAAGCATCCCAAAATAAATCACGTGAACATGTAGAAACTGCAACAGTCATATGTGTGAGAAATAGTGATAAGTCATTTTTTTTTCCAGTGCCATTATAATGTCAACTGGTCACTAAATGAACTGTTGTAAGTCAAGGACTATCTGTACTCCCTTTTATGCCAGGTACATCCCAACCTGCCAAAGTATCATGGCCTTATCATTTCAGGATGCTCCTGGCTCCTCAAGATAGTGAGTTCCGCTAATAAGATTTCATTTTCTTCTCCTTCCTCAAAGAAAAACTCCTGTTTTAAGAGGTTTCTTTCTTTAGGCAGTGACTCCAGACCTGGCTTTGTATTTTCTTATCTGAAAAGCAGAATTTCTGGAAAAGCCTTAGAAAAAGTCCAAATGGTTAACTACCAGCTGTTAGCTAGAAATTCCTTCACCCTCTCGTTTATTCTATAGCTGGTAAGATATTTAAGTGCCCGTGAATAAATTCCCCTGTGAACACATCTCCAAACACAGGGACAAAATCAGTGGTTGGATTTAAAAAAAATTACTACCATTTCTGTGGGCATGGCTTGGTGGGCATGGCATGGTGGGTGTGGCAGGTGAAGAATACTGAAAAATCCACATTCCTTCCCCACCCCACTAACCTGCTTTCCAGCTCTGTTCTCCTGTCAGGGCAACAAAAAAAGATCCAGCCAATCAGCTGGGACTCGGGAGGCAGAGAATAGATGGGGGCGGGGCCACTCAGAGGTGTTATTTGCTGGTTCTCCGAACTACTCAAAATTTCCAGAATTGGTGAAAACCACCTCTGGACAAAATCCACACATCTTTCTCTGTTTCAGAAAACGCAGAACTGGGTTGAATGTTTTCTTTGCAAAAGGACCCACTTTAGCAAACCTGACATTGTTTTCTTTTTCAAAAGTTTAAAATGGTAGGGTGCAAATGATATATAGCCATTGTCTGGAGGCAAATGTTTCCAGTTTAATAACATTCCAGTTTAAATGGCACACTGTGAATTTTAAATCCGATTGCATTGGGTGAATCATTAATCTCTTAACCAATTTCTCATGAATAATATAAGAGATTAAAATATGTAGGCTATCATTATTCATTTCACTTCTGTCTGTCTTATATTAATGCGGGGGAGTGGGGGAGGGACCTGAAAGAGACCGACAGGTTGGATATGAGCCATGTTTTTAAGCTGAATAACTATTCTGGGAACTGATTCATAAACTAAGGGGCTTATCTTATCTTAAGGTAGAAGAGTCACACCTTGAAAGTCCACAGCCTATTTAGAAGTTGCCATTTTAATGGATCACTTTCTTAAGGTGACACAAAAAGAACATGATTAAATATATTCAGAGTGATCATTCTCAATGGGATCAATGGGTTTAATTTTAATTAAATCAAATTTAATATTTCTCCTGGTCTGGTCCATTTTTTTGGTCCTAGCTCCCAATCCCTGTTACCTTTTGGACTGAGGCCCCGCTCACGCCAAGTGCAAAAGATGGTGTGATAGTCACACACGCAGTGCAGAGAGGTCTGCATCCGGTATACCACAGGCCTCTCTTCCTGTTCTAGAAGACACATTCCAATATATATATATATATATATATATATCTAAATCATCCCTGGAACAAATTTCTGCATCTGGTATACCACAGGCCTCTCTTCCTGTTCTAGAAGACATATTCCAAAATATATATATCTAAATCATCCCTGGAACAAATTACTGGAAGGAGGTGGGGGTGCAAAGAGTGGAAAGAGGCCTTTCTGTTTTGAATATCACCCCCCCCCCAACACAATCTCTGTTTTAAAAGGGAGCATCCATATTAATGGGTTGCCGGATCGAAGCATTGAGCCATAATCTGAGGACTCCTGAGTTCTTACCCTGATTTCCTTTTCTGGTGCACAAATGCAACCTAACCGATCTTGTGTCTGAAATAATAAACTGAGGTGTCTTCCACCTACATTGCAGTAAGCATAACTAATGTGTCAGGATTCCAGCGATCACCCTAATTAAATCATGAGCCTCGAGCCAAACTTCAAAAAACTTCAAAGGATTTATTAGAAGCGACATGCTGGCATGACCTGGATGAAGCTGACTCTGAGATATGTAATTTACAATCACCTATGACCCTGTTTCCCCCCACCGCTCTGGGTGTATCATAATTCAGATTGTCCAACTAAATACATTCATGGGCTGGGTGTCATCAATCACATTCTCCAATAGAGGAATTTCCCGCCCAGAATACCTGGTTGCCTCAGTTACCATCTTTGTGAGCTGGGAATGTGCTTCTGAGTTCATTTGCTGTATGCTCTTTCAAGGTCCCTCCCACCTTTCTTTTTGCAACTTGGAAACAGGCATAGGAATGTTTTAACAAGTTGACATAATGCTCTTTCCTCTTCCTTTTTCCCCCACAACAACAAACCTGTGGGGTGCGCTGGGCTGAACTAGGAGAAAGGAACTGGCCCAAAGTCACCCAATTGGCTTTCATGTCTAGGGCAGGCAGGACTAGAACTAATGATCTAAGTATAGTATATAAAATCATACATTGCAATGTCCTACCTGTCAATGAATACTTCAGCTTCAACCATAACAATACAAGAGCAAACAACAGATACAAACTCAAGGTTAATTGCACCAAACTTGATTGCAGGAAATACGACTTCAGCAGCAGAGTGGTCAATGTCTGGAATACTCTACCCGACTCTGTGGTTTCTTCCCCAAACCCCAAAAACTTCAACCTTAGACTGTCTACTATTGACCCCACCCCTTTCCTAAGAGGCCTGTAGGGGACGTGCATAAGCGCACCAACGTGCCCACCGTCCCTGTCCTATTGTTTCTTTTTATTTTTCTTATCCATGTATTCATTTATTTTTCTTATCCATGTATTCATAACTATGTTTTTACTTATACCTATTATCTTGTAAGCAATTGACAAACCAAATAAAATAAATAAAATAAAACATAAATAAATCTTTTGGTTTCTAGGCTGGTTCTTTAACCACTAGAGTCGACCAAACCTTTTATCTTCATAAGGAAGTGTGATGCCAAAGAAGAACAGCGGGAAAGACTTCTCTGATATAAGCAACGTTATGCTGCATGAGGAGGCCTCCTTGGTGTTAGACCTTGGCAGGGACATGACACTCTGTACATGGCTCAGAAGCACTTTTCTTACCACTGCTCAAGTGATGAGACTGACCCTAAAGTCACAGAAGGGAATCCCAACCCATCTGATACTGTCTTGCATTATAGGTTCTAAAAGTCACCCCGCTTGTACCCCTCCGGCATTTCCGGAGCTCTCCCAGATGGAAAAAGCTGAATCAATTTCCTTATTTTCTCTCTGGCAATCACCATGTTTTGGATTCCATGTGGGGGCATTTGGAAAGATGCAATGAATCCAGCTCTGTGAAGCCTAAAAAGCCTCCCTGCCGATGGGTGACAGCTTTTGTGTGTGTCTCTCCCTCTCCCTCTCCAGCTCTCAGGACCGGGTGGCAACTTCTGCATCCGTCCCCATTGCCCCCATTGCCGTGTCCTGCGTCTCCACCTCCAGCGCTGCCGTTTGCAAGGATTCCAGGGGGCTTCCCGCCCCCTGCACACAGAAACGCCCCCCAAAGGAGCCCCTTGTGGAGCCCGCCCTAACAGTCACCCAGCTGCAGCAGGTAAGTTGGCTCAGTGCATTTTTTTGCGCCATTCTCTGCTTCTCTCCTCTCCTCTCCTCTCCTCTCCTCCACTCCCTTCTCTCCTCTCCTCTCCTCCACTCCAGTCCCTTCCTTCCTCTCCTCTCTTCTCCCCACCTCCCTTCCCTCCTCTCTTCTCCTCTCCTCTCCTCCATTCCCTTCTCTCCTCTCCTCTCCTCTCCTCCAGTCCATTCCCTTCTCTCCTCTCCTCTCCTCTCCTCCCTTCCCTCCTCTCCTCCACTCCCTTCTCTCCTCTCTTCTCTTCCTCACTTCTTTCTCTGACTTGATCTTTCAGATGCGGCCGTCAGTCATCACCTGTGCCCCACGTCGAAGCTGCCCAGAGGCTCCGCCAAGCCCCAGTTCCCCAGTAAGTCCTCCCATTTCCCCACTCGCGCTCCCTTTCCCTTCCTTTGAGCCCTTCACCAACCCTCCAAGAACATTTCTCCTTTACCGACTTGTTCACCCTTGCGATGGGCCTGGGAAGAAGTATCCCTGGTGGGGACGGCTTGGGAGTTTGCTAAGCACTTGAATTGCGATCACTAGGCAGCACAGGTGCTACGAAGGCTGCTACTACAAGGACTTTCATAAGTCCGCTTCTTTAGCCTTATTGTGACTTTGAACAGTCACTGAACGAATCGTTGTTCAAGAAGGAGTACCTGTAATAACCAAATCTTGCAAGTCTGATTGCAGATGGTCCTCGACTTATGAACACAATTGAGCCCAACATTTCTGTGGTTAAGTGAGACATTTGTGAAGCGAGTTTCGCTCCCTTTTGCAACCTTTTTGCCACAGTTGTTAAGTGAATCACTGCAGTTCACAAGTTAGTAACCTGGTGGTTCAGTGAATCTGGCTTCCTCCCATTGACGTTGCTTGTCAGAAAGTTGCAAAGGGTGATCACCTGACCTTGGCACACAGCGACTGTCTTAAATATGAACCAGGTACCGAAGGTCTGAATTTTGATGACTACAGAGAAGCTGCAAAGATTGTCAACTGTGAAAAATGGTCATAAGTCACATTTTTCAGCTGTTATAACTTTAAATGGACACTAAACGAACTGTTGTAAGTCAAGGACTACCTGTACACTCTTCCTCCTTCTTATAGTTCAGTGAATTAGGGAGGTTTCTGATATTTGCAAGATTTCCCAAAATTATCTCTTGTTCTGGACTGGAAAAAAAATTTGTTGGCCTCTTTTACCAATAGCAAAAGCACTTATACACTGCTTCCTAGTGCTTTATAGCAGGGGTCCCCAACCACCAGTCCCTGGACCGGTACCGGTCCGTAGAACAATTTCTACCAGGCCACTGGTTTGCTGGGCGCCACCATCTTGTTTTGATGTGAAAGTGCTTCCGGTGAGCTTTTCCAGGTAGAAAGCGGCGTTTGAGTGTTGAAGGAATCCTCGCACCTTAGTTTCATCAAGGGGGGGGGGGGGCGGCTTCGAACAAAACTAAGGGTGAGGATTCTTTCAGCACGCATGGCAAGGCGAGCCGAGCGACCGTCCCGAAGCCGTGGCGAAGCCCATCGACACAGGTACAAAGGAGGAGTTGAAGGTGGCGGGGAGAAGCGGGGGACGGCTGGCTGGCCGGTCGCTCGGCTCGCCTTGCCATGCGTGCTGATGCCGGTACCGGGCCGCGGATGATTTTATGATGCCAGTACCGAGCCGCAGCACAAAAAAAGGTTGGGGACCACTGCTTTATAGCACTCTCTAAGTTGTCAAATACAAGGTCCACAGGCCACATCTGGCTCGTGATGCGGTCAGATCCAGCCTGTGAGGCCACCCTGGATAATGTAAGGTGTCGGTTCCCATTGCTTTGGCCTGGCCTACCCAGCGCGAAGAGGAAACATTGGGCAAGGTGTGGCTTCAGTCTGGTCTACCCAGTGTGAAGAGGAAACATGCCAGCAGTTTGGGGAGTGGCATCAAGCTGGCCACACTGCCCATTTGACCATGTCCATCCAGTTGGCCACGCCCAATGAGTGGCATCAAAGCTGGCCACGCCCAGCCGGTTGGCCACATCTACCCAGTTGGCCATGCACACCTGCCCCCCTCCCCCCCCGAAGTCAACCAAAACCCTGATGCAGCCCTCAATGAAATTGAGTTTGATACCCCTGCTGTAAGCGGTTTACAGGGTATATTTCTGACTTGTTAACCCCTTACCTTTTGCCTAGATGATAGTTCTTGCATATACTGGTAGTACCTGATTTACAATTATTCATTTAGTGACCATTCAAAGTTACAGTAACATTGAAAAAAGTGACTCAGGACTATTTTTCACCCTTACAAGTATTGCAGCATCTGGTCATGTGACTGAAATTCGTAGACTTGGAATCTGACATGGGTTTACGACGGTCACAACTTAACTGCCAGGATTCACTTTACAACTGTGGCAAGCAAGGTCATAAAATGGCACAAAACTCACTTAACTATCTTGCCTAGTACAGAGGTTTTGGCCTCCATTGTGGTTGTATGTTGAGGATGATCTGTATCCATCACGTTCATCTTTTTTATTGTGAAATCCTTGGTGCTCTCTGAACTTGGTTGTTTGTTTATAGATGTTTTGTGACAAGACTAGGGAGCATCTTCATTGCTGGAAGAGAGTGAGATTTGTACCTTGCCCTGTCAGGGTTGTTTCCTCCTTGGAAATTTCTGGATTGTTCAGAGACGAGTATCTACCAAAGGGCTCTTTGATAGACCTGTAAGCGCAGCACGAACTCCAGCGGCAGATTAAGGCTCACTGGTGCCCTAAGCACTGACAAATCTTGGTGCTCCTCTCCTTTGTACTTGCTATCTATACGAAGTCAACTTTGTAGTGCCCTCTTTGGGCCTGGTGCCCTAAGCACATGCTTCGTCTGCTTAATGGTTAATACACCACTGGCAAACTCCACTCCATAAGTTGGTATGTAGTTTCTGGGCTTAGACAACAAGTCAAGGTTGGTAGAGTCAGAAGAGTCATCCTTCAGCAGAATTTCCTTTAACTGCTGTGTCTTTCCCCATATTCGAGTCAAGGACCACAAACAACCTGTTCCAGTGTGTTTTTAGAGATCAGAAGAGGAAGGAAGGGGGAAAGAGATCATTTAGAAAAGGGGATGTGGAATCATAACCTTCCCACTAACGCTGTAACACGGAATGCATTCTTCATCAGAAGATGAGAATGCGCAACTATTAATAACTGAACTCCAGAAAGTATCTGGAAGCAGCATGGGCCAGAGGTCATCATAGAGCAATGAAATCAGAACTGAATGTTTCCTAACTAACCTACTTCCCTTTCTTCTTAGCTCTCCCCAGCAAAGCGTACAAATGGGACCTCCAATTTTCCCCACTCTCAAAGGCTGTGTCCATGGACCACCAACATCTCAGCATCATTCAGCAAAGCAGCATCTCCCAGGCAGACGATCAAAGAGGCAGATGGGAATCTCTAACCTCGCTTTTGATAGCTTATCCATTGTCGTTGACCTGGGGGAGTCCTCTTATACGCCTGTAGCAGCCTGTCCTTCCTAGGGCCGGGCCCCAATATCGCGCTCACCACTTCCCTTTTTTTTTTTGTATCTTGGTAGCCTACTCTGTACCTACACCCTAAACCTGGCTTACGGATCTCCTTCCAAATACCTTGTTGGTAGCTGCATTCCTGACTTTAAATCCATATATGTGAACGCTCCACTTCAAATAGATAATTTCTTGCTAATCTCCATGGGTGAAGAGTCTTTAGTTCCGCATTTCGATTCCAGTGAAAACCAGCCACGTGTCTTGCAATAGGCAAGACATGATATTCTTTGTCCTTGCCATGTGGTACTTGGATATTGCCTTTATGTACTAAGGTCCATTTCATTGCCATCCGTACCAGCTTTAAGATGTGTGGATCTGAACCCCCACATTTCCCCAGTCAACATTAAAGTTGCCAAGCTTGAAAAATCTCTTATCTATACCAATAATCATCTCAGAATCCTGTGGGAGCAAACAATGACATTCTCCAAGCAGACGAAGGAGATTTAGAGGTCGAAGAAGAACCTCAGTCTAAGGAAGAGAGGACAAATCTAGCCCAATGATAACTGAACACTATCATGATCCAGGAACATCAGCAAGAGGGGAACAGAAAACGGGAGGAAATGAAAAGGGGTTTCCTAGAAAAGGAAATGGCATGGCTACCTGGAACCCAGCAGGTTTTCTTGCAGATCCTACCTGCTATAGCAATCTTTGCTATAGCAAAGCTGGCTGAGGAATTCTGGGAGTTGAAGTCCACAAGTCTTAAAGTTGCCAAGGTTGGACACCCCTGGTCTATATGAATGAGCCTCTGTGGCGCAGTGGTTAGAGTGCAGTACTGCAAGCTACTTCTGCATCCAGTTGCCTCCAATTTGGCAGTTCGAATCTCACCAGGCTCCAGGTTGACTCAGCCTTCCATCCTTCCGAGGTGGGTAAAATGAGGACCCAGATGGTTGGGGGCAATAGGCTGACTCTGTAAACTGCTTAGAGAGGGCTGTGAAGCACTATAAAGTGGTAGATAAGTCTTAAGTCCTATTGCTATTGCTATCTGTCGAAGAGTGTGCACGGTGACAGTGTACGCATAAGAGATATGTGCAGGCTAATAGTACAGATAGTCCTTGACTTACAACAGTACATTTAGTGACCTTCAAAGTGACAACGGCACTGAAAAAAAATGACCTATGACCACTTTACACCCTTATGACCTTTGCAACATCCTGGATCATATTTAGGATGGTTGCAGTGTCCCAGGGTCACATGGTCCCCCTTCTGTGACCTTCGGAGAGAATGACCTATGACCACTTTTCACCCTTATGACCTTTGCAACATCCTGGATCATATTTAGGATGGTTGCAGTGTCCCAGGGTCACATGGTCCCCCTTCTGTGACCTTCGGAGAGAAGCAAAGTCAATGGGGAAGCCAGATTCACTTCACAACCGGGTTACTAATTTCACAACTGCAGTGATTCCCTGACTAAATGTGGCAAGAAAGGTCGTAACGTGCGGCAAAACTCTCAAAACACATTTCTCACTTGGCAAGATAAATGTTGGGCTCAGTTGTGGTCGTAAGTTAAGGACTACCTGTGATGAAGGAGAAAAAGTTCAGCAGGCTCTAATCGTTCTGACATGTTGCACTTTTATTGTCTGCAACACACACGCACACCAATGGGGAAATCTTTAGAACAAAACACACGATGACTTGCAAAGAAATACAGGAAAGAGGAAATTGACCTAGAAACCACAAGTAACCGCTGACACTGGAAGAATCAGATGAGGAAATGCCACCGCTTAGAAAATGGGGAGTAGCTTCTCTGCGCCTATGTAGCTCCCTACATCTCTCCTATTTGTAATTCATGAATGTCAATAAAGTAGTATTTAACTCTGTGCAACTGGATGGGAGGTTGCCGTGAGGAAAGAATACCATTTTCTTGGTGCTTCCTGTCAAACTCTACAAATAATCATTTTTTAAAAAAAACCCTAACATGAGAGGGGAATAAAAAGGTCTTAAATTATTTCCCATGGAGCTATTTTATATTATTTCTTTTTAAAAAAAAAAAAACATCCACCCGGCCTAATGCAATGCACTCCATTCTACCACTTCAGATCCCTGCCACTTTAGTATGTTGCCAGTCAGGCTTCAGGGTTGCATTGCAGGATCAATAATATTTGGAGAAAGAAGAAAAAGGTTGGTAAACTCACACACATACCAGGGGTGCGATTCAGCCGGTATAACAACCGGTTCGGTGAGCGTGCATGTGCTCTCTGTTTAAAAAAGCTAATGCTTTCCTTCGACTGCAGCTGAAGAAAACAGCTGAGGTGCCACGTGAATCAGCTGCGCTCTAACACAAAAGGCATAAAGCGTAGAAAAGAGCAGGGGCAGGCGGGCCCATTCTCGTCGGAGCAAACTGATTCTGAGCAGCTGATCGTTGGAACAGGGGGTTCGCCTGAACTGGTCCAAAACAGTAGAATCCCACCCCCTCACACACACACACACACACACACACACACACTTCTCAAATAGATCATTATCTAACATCTTCAAGAAAAATAAATGGAGAGTGTGAGACTTGCCACAACTTAAACCTCTAAATAGAAATGATCCTTGGCTCCATTTGTTGAGAAAGGTATCGTTTATTAGAGATCAAGGGCATTGTGGTAGTATATAGCTAGAACTGAGAATCGCCTGCCCAAATCCCTATGTTCTACTTTTCTCTCCCTTTAACTCTCTCTCATTGCCCATCCCAGTATCACCAAATGGGTTCAGACAAGATGTTTTCCTCACGGTCAGTCCAAGTGCAGTTTGGTAGGCGGCTCCTTCCTTCCAGATGGGTGACCTTGTAGCAATGTCTTAAGGCAGAGTTCCCCAACCTTTCCAGGCTGGCGGGGGGAGGGGGGCAAAAGAGGGGGTGATTTTGTGCGAGGGGCAAGTGCATGTGCATATAAGTGCCTAAGATGTTCACAGTGATGTTTGCGAGTGGGGCTGTGAGCGCCTGCAATGAGACTCGTTCAAGGATCCTGTGACTACACTCGCATGTGCGTGCACACCAGTTGGCCCCTCACAGAGCCCACTGGTGATTAACCCATGGCCCAGTAGTGGGCCGTGGACCACAGGGTGGGGACCCCTGTCTTAAGGAGAAACAGCACTTTCATTTCCGCGAGCATTCCCCCCTTCGTTCTCCCTCCCCACAGTTCATGGCAGATACAGATACAGATTAACAAGAGTTGGAAGGGACCTTATAGGTCATCTAGCTCAACCCTCCCCCCAAGCAGACTCTTCACCATTTTTGACAGATAGCAGTTCCAGTCTCTTCTTGAAAGCTTCCAATGATGAAACACCCACAACTTCCGAAGGCAAGCTGTTCCATTGGTTGGTTGCTCTCACTGTCAGAAAATGTCTCCTTATTTCCAGGTTAAATCTCTCCTTGGTCAGTTTCCATCCATTGTTCCTTGTCTGGCCTACAGGCGCTTTAGAAAATAGCTTGACCCCTTCCTCTCTGTGGCAGCCCCTCAAATATTGGAACATTGCTATCGTGTCTCCCCTGGTCCTTCTCTTCACTAGACTAGCCAAGTTCCTGCAACCGTTCTTCATGTTTTAGCCTCCAGTCCCCTAATCTTCTTGGTTCTCTTCTCTGCACTCTTTCTAGAGTCTTTTTTTATAGTGTGTTTGTCTGTCATCTTTTTTATAGTGTGTCTGTCTGTCACTTCACAGCAGTGAAGCACAAGCAAACAAGAAGTGGTGGCTGACAATGCCATTCATTTAATAATGAAATCTTTAAGATGGATTTTTGTTTTACATGTGTTTATGGCTTTAGAACAAACTGTCTAATCTATTTTTCAGCACATCTATATGTTCACTGCGTTTTTCATTGTATCTACAAGTAAACATTCTGATGCCAAGTTGATTCCTTTGTCAAAGTATATCTGTAACTCTTGTGGAACTCTTAAATGAGGGATCATTGGTTTAACGCACACTGAACTATACCTTTTAAACTGTAAATATAGATGAAATGCTAAAAAATATTTTAAATCAAGTATGCTTTATAGCATTTGAAAAACAGGAACACAACACAGAACACATACATTTTTTCTCCTTTACTGTATATGGAAGAGACAAAAGTGCAATGTAATCTATTACCCTGTGATTATTTAATCATTAAAAAAGCAGTAGTGCAAAAAAGATGAGTGCAAAAATCATAGGAAGCAAAGTCAGCATTTCTCACAGCTGCATACATTATGGTTTGCAGGAATTTTCAGTACCGCAATTTACAGCCTCCAGTTCTGGAAAATCAATCTACAAGAAAGTAAAAAAAAAAAAAAAAGGAGTTGGAATAAACAGGAAGTCCAGTCCTACTTTGAATAATCAGTGCCACATTTGAATTCAGACATCAAAAACAACCGTTTTCTTAAATGTCTTCTATCCTAGCAGCTTTATACGGAATTGGGGGAATGCTTTTGTGTAATTGCCTTCGTTAAATAAGCAGGAGTCAAGTCCTTGCTGCTCTAGAGCAATTCATGCAGAACTCCACAAGCAGATTCCAATCGGCTCTCTGTTCTTTAACAGGATTTAGCCTTTGATGCAGGAATAAAGACGACCCTCTCCCCCAAAAAATGCTTCCTTTACATTCATCACTAACCTGCCACCCAAGTTGTATTGTAAAATGGAATCTGGGCAGAGGGCCCACAGGCCCACAATTATCTGATACTCAAAACCCTTAGGATTGCAAATTTCCAATCCAATGGAGAACAGGAGCATTCTCGTGTGCATAATTGAACACTCCCTCTGCCCCCCCCCCCCCTTTTTTTTTTTTTTTTTGCAGGAAAATTGGACTTGGAATAGGCATCATTTCATAGGAACCTCTGTGGCACGATGGTTAGAATGCAGTACTGCAAGCTACTTCTGCTGCAGCCAGCTGCCTACAATTTGGCAGTTCAAATCCCACCAGGCTCCAGGTTGACTCAGCCTTCCATCCTTCCCAGGTGGGTAAAATGAGGACCCAGGTTGTTGGGGGCAATAAATAAATAGAGAGGACTATAAAGCACTATAAAGAGGTATATAAGTCTAAGTGCTATTGCTATCTCTATAACCAGAGATAAATGCCAGCAGCTTCAAAACATTCCTAAATACAGGAATGCAGATTTGTCCACGATGCTTCCCAAGATAGCCCAGAATAAGAAGTGCAATTTGCCCCCTGCCTCCTGAGATGAGCACACATATGAAGCTTTGATTTTTTTTTTCTCCTCCAAGGGAATCTCACTGTCACCTCCTCACCTTCACAAAGAGGCACATTTTGGCACCGTGTTTCTTCCACCACTTCCAATTCTTGTCCTTCCAGTTGCTTACATTGAGGCTTCGGGTTTCCCGAAAAGGTTATATTATGTTCCTTCCCATTCTCTGCTGGCATCACCTTTCTGTAGCCCAGGAAAAAAAAGAGAAAGAGAGAGAGAGAGAGAGAGAGAGAGAGAGAGAGAGTGTCAGAGTCTGTGGGAAAACCTCTCTTCACAGAACCGGTCCCTGGTGTCCAAAAAGTTGGGGACCACCACTGCTCTAAAAGATGCTACAGGTTGTAGTGCAGAGATTACTATGGTCTTTCCTTGAAAGGTCTTAGCTTCCTGCAGTGTTTCAAATTTACTGTCCCCACTACTAACAGAAGAAACTGCTAAGAGCAAGGAAACAACACGTTGATCGACACCATTAAGAAAATATAATTATTACTATTATTATTACCTTTATTGTCAGTGCTCCAGAGGAGACGGGAGGCAGGAGACAGGTGGACCTTGCCCCCATGGGGGCTGCAGCCCTCAAGAAGGGAAGGCCAGGGACAGCCGGACCATGGCCGGAATCCCCTCCGTCTCTGCTCCCCTCCTGGCTGCTGGAGCCAGGAGGCACTGTACCATTTACATGTGTACAATGAGAAGAGCCCTAATCTTGCCTTGTGACAGGATTTAATGGGACAAAGTTAAAGACCCTCTTCTCCCAATACCCCCAAACCTGAATGTCATTCTTGGCAGTCTTAACTGGATAAGCTCACGTGAAGACCCCACACAACCCTCCTACTGGCTGCTTAGGGCAGAACAAGGTGGTACACAGATGAGCAGCGGACATTTTGTCTTTGCCGTGGGGTACTGTCTTCCCCTGACCCAGAGGTGGGCGACGTGTCAGATCTGCTCCCACTTTCCAACAATGTGCTGCTGCTCCCCACCTTCTAGCAGTGGCTATTTCATTGGGACTCATGGCAGAGCTGGCCGTGGGGGCACAAAAAGGGTTTCTGGCTCAGGAAATTTGCCATTGTTTTGTACTGGTTTCATTTTTGTGCTCTGAGCATCAAATGCCACTGTTCCTGGGACATCAAGGAGAGCGAGGCACTTCCCTGATAAGAAAGCTGTGGGAGAAAGCAAGAAGACCAAACAGATAGAAAGGCAACAGATTAAAAAAAGAAAAAGAAAGAAGGAAGAAAGCCAAATCACCCCAAACCCTGCCCCAAAGTTTGGAAAGCCAGCTCAGAGCATCCCCAGTCAATGTCTTTCTGGGAAAGAAGCAAGCGAGTAAATGACAAGGTGAGAAATGGACAGGGAGCAACGGGAACGGAGAAATTGCTCTTTACTCAGAAACAGGGAATCATTTATCACACGAACTGATTGCCACTGAGGCTAAGTTGTTCCGGGGAGCAACAAGTTAATAGTCTTCCACTATCATGTATCGCTTTCCTTAACCTGTCCCTCATTTTATATATATATATAACAGATAGAAAGGCAACAGATTAAAAAAAGAAAAAAGGCAACAGATTAAAAAAAGAAAAAGAAAGAA